TATTTTATGATGATAATGCTAATAATGAATACAGTTCATCCACTAATAATGTTATATTTAGGAAAACAGTGTAAAATATAATGAATAAAATTTTCATTTGACTTTTTATTACCTCTCTACATATTTTTTTAATATTATTTATTTATTTAAATAATAATTCATTTCACCTCATGTTTTAATATCAGGCCGCGCAACGCGCGGGTGGTGTACTAGTATCAGAATAAATCTTGCGGTGGCGATCTCTGTTTGCCCCTTTCATTTTATACGCCATTCACTGCCCATAGTTGCGCGCTCTCTCTCTCTCTCTCTCTGAACCTTAATCTTGGTTTTTTAGCTGCTTTGATTATTTTTTTTGGGCTTTTAGTATATCTGTAATTGTTGAGCCACGGAGAACTGTGGGGGGGTGCTGAGAGTTTTTTTTTTTTTTTNTTTTTTTTTTTGGTTAATTTTGCGCTTTGGCCCGTTTCGTTTTGTGGTTGCAGTAATCCTTGGAGCCATGGTTGCTGAAGCGAAGGTGTGTTTTGTGTTTTATTTGTGTTTGCTTACTTTCCGCTTGTGTAATTTCTGCATTTTACTTTGATTTGTGTTGAGAAAATAATATTGGGCTGCCAAATTATGGATCTGAAAACTGGATTTGAGCTTGTAGATTACGGAATTATACCCTTCTTATAAAACAAGTAAGGATCTTTTTGAATATTATATTGCCTTTTTGATTGGGAATTGAGTTCTAGCTGATTGGGAATTTGAAGGCTGAAGGGTTCTGTGTTGTATGAATCGTGTTCATCTTTTGTTAATGCCATTTTGCTTTAGCTACAGGTAAGTTTCAAGATTGTTGTATACTTGGCGAAGTACCACAATTAGTTTATATTTTGTCCTGATTTTTCAGGGTAGTTCAGTTAATCTTGTAGTTGATTTCAGTCATTCATGAAGCATATCCCAGCTGTACTGTCTGAAACTTTAGAAAGTGTGTTCTTTCTCGGTGACCCATAATTTATTTAATTATATGTGACTAAGTTTTGAGCCGGGGTGTCTTTGTGAATTTAGCTGCATCTTATGAAATGAAATTGTCAAAGACTCAAAATATGTCGTTACTGCTCTATCCTTGGGGAAGAAGGTGGATGGATCGAAGGACTGTTACTCTATATGTGGTTGATTGTGATATTTGAACTTACAGCCTGTCAATCGATCTAGCTCTAATACCATTTGTAATGCCGTATTGTACTTTTGTTTAATTGCCAGTAAATATAAGGTGGTAGAAAATTTGAGATCCATAAACAGTATTAATTCTAATTGTGATCTGCAGGATCAAACGACACAATCTTACCAGGATGTGGCTAATCAACCAAAGATTTTATCCCCTGATGCAACTGGCTTTGCACATAAGGTCTTAGCTTTTCCTCCTTGAAATTGGCACTTGTTTACTTTCATGTCAGATAAAGTGCACCCGTGTTATTCTTTGCCCGCAACATAATGTAGAAATCCGTCTTTCATTACGTTATATTAGGTGAGAAAACCCTATACCATCACAAAACAGAGAGAGAGGTGGACAGAGGAGGAACATCAAAGGTTTATTGAGGCCCTGAAGCTGTATGGCCGTGCTTGGCGCCAAATTGAAGGTGAGTGTGGTATAGGGTTGTTCGCACCAAAAAAAGGTCTCATTTGAAAGGTTTTGATTTTGGCTTCTTTCTACTGTGTATTGTTACTAAATTTTGTTCTTTGATCATATAGCTGTAGAGTTTTGCTCAGCTGCTAAATTGAAAGGTTTTGATTTTGGCTTCTTTCTACTGTGTATTGTTACTAAATTTTGTTCTTTGATCATATAGCTGTAGAGTTTTGCTTCAGCTGCCCTGCATAAATCGTGATCTGAGAAAGAATTTCTGTAATGTTTGTAGATCTATCGATTTCAGTTGTTTGATTTGGGGAAATTGAAATTTCCTGTCGGAAAAAAATCTTCAAGTGTTTATTTCTGGTTGTACTTTATCTGACATGAAATCACTTTCTGTCTGTGGCGAAGTCCTTCTGGGTTTTGAAGTTGATAGTTTACAAAGTTAAAACTTAAACAAAACTCTATCTTTTTTTTTATTATAACTACTACCTACATAGATTGGATTAGAAATTTTTTTTCGTAAAAGAGCAGGACTTTTTTCAGGACAATTAATCGTCAAATGATCTGATCCTTGTTTCATGTTTGGATATTTGATATAACTTGTTCTCTTGTTTATGCAGGACACGTGGGGACCAAAACCGCCATCCAAATTCGCAGCCACGCTCAAAAGTTCTTTGCTAAGGTCACCAAAGATTCACCTGGTGATGCTGAAGGATCTCTGAACTCGATCCAGATTCCCCCTCCTCGACCTAAGAAGAAACCTTCACACCCTTACCCTCGTAAAATGGTTGACTCAGCCAACACAGAAGCTGTGGGCCCTCAACAGGCAAAAGGGTTGACCGATGTGTCTGTTTCTGAGAGAGAGAACCATTCACCAACTTCAGTTTTGTCGGCCATCGGCTCCAACAATGAGGAATCCCCACTTGCCGAGACTCAAAAATCCTGCCTTTCACCGGCTTCATGTGCGACTGATAATGCTAATGATAATGAACATGCCATGTCAGATGAGTCTTCGAAAGAGGAAGACGGTTTGAGTTTATCATTGAAAATGTGTGCTGATTCGGGCCCGGATATTAAATCCTCCACCATGGTATAAGTTCTTTCCTTTAAATTACAGAAACTACCCTTGAGATCTTGCCTGATTAACATTAACCTCCTTGATGGTTCCTTATTTTTCTCCTCTGTGACTGCAGAAGTTCGAGTTATTTCCTGAGGGAACTGAGTCTTTGCCATGTGGTGGAGAAAATTGTGCAAGTATTAAACTATTTGGGAAGACAGTTGTGGTAAGAGATACTCCAAAACAGTTTGAAGAAGCTTTGGAAGACAATGAATCTTTAGTCCCTGGTGTTTTTCCGAGTGAGGTGTCTGAAAAGGAAAAATCTAGAAATTTGAACCTTGAAGTTTCTGGATTATTCTCGAATCCAGTGGCAAACATTTATGGCCCAGCAGAAAACGTATATCGTTTCCCTTGGTGCACTTGGTACAACGGTCCTGTTTACTACCCTTACCTTTCGCCCGGCAGGAAGCCATCCGTAGTAAATGTCGAAAATGGCCCTGAAGGAGTAAATGAAGAAGAGGAGTCTCTTGTTGGTTCAAACAGTGGGTCCATGAGTGAAGTCAATGTGGAAAACCGATACAGTGATGTGGAGTCGAGCAATTTGTCTTGTTTTGCAGACAGGAAAACGGGGAAAGGTTTTGTTCCGTACAAGCGGTGTTTAGCTGAGAGGGATGAAAAATCGTCGTTTTCCTTTGTGCAGGGACGTGAGAACCAGCGGGCTCGTGTTTGCTCATAGCACTTGCCGGTACAATTTAGCTGTTTCTTTCGTCTTTTTTCCAGTAACACTTCTAACCCGGGTCGCCTTTTTTCGACAGTGGAGTTCTTGGATGGATGGCTGCCAAATGTGATATTTTAATTTCATGCAGTACATTGAACACTTCCTCTAAATAATCATAGGTGACCTCATATTGACAAGAACACAATAGAATGTGATTTTTTTTATCTTTTTTTTTTTTTTCGTAATTTTACTTTGTAACTTAAGACTTTGTACAAACTTTTACTGTCTAATTCTCCCTGCTAATTTAGCTTATTCAAATGCTGAAGCCTATGCTTTTTCATGTTTTTTTTTTCCCTTCCAGTTTGGCATTCCCAATTATATTGGTTGAATTCACTTAAATCATGTGTGGCAAAACTTAAACTTGTCAATGTCAGATGATATTCTTAATAAAGTGAACTAATGAGACAGATTCTGGTGATTTTTTCTTTTCCAAAAAAATTAAAACATTTATTTTATTTTATATTATTTTGATAGATCTACATACAATTTCTAAACAAAATAGCATACTCAAACACTAGCATGTACAAAAATAAAATTGCATTTGCTACATAAGTCAATATTTATGTTATGAAGGTCTGAACAGTGGAAACCAAATTATATATATGCCGGTGGAGAGTTAATGGGATGAGAAAAATTCAATTCTGAAATCAGTTTCAAATTAACAGAACATCTTTTGTAATTTTATTTCCCCTAAACTGTGACAGCAATGTCAGTCATATTTCCCCAGAATCAAACACACCAATAACTGAACAAATGTCACAAGTCATTTAAATCATCCAGAAAAAAAACACCAAA